GTGACCTCTTCAGAGATTTACCAGTAAAGGAGTTTCTATAAATGTACTAATGAGTAGAGAAAAACAGTGGTCAGCTGGTTAGCTCCTTCACTAGCTAAATGGCTCACTCCATATTATTAACATAACTAGAGGCCCAGTGCATGGAATTCGAGCACTGGGGGGGAGGGGGGTTCCCCTCAGCCCAGCCTGCGCCCTCTCGCAGTCCAGGAGCCCTTGGAGGATGTCCAACTGATGGCGGGGAGTGGGCCTAAGCCATCAGTTGCACAGCCTTAGTGCTGTTGCGGCGTGAGCCTGGCTTCTGGCTGAGTGGTGTTCCCCCTGTGGGAGCACACTGACCACTGGGGGGCATCTCCTGCATTGAGCATCTGCCCCCTGGTGGTCAGTGTGCATCATAGTGACCAGTAGTTCAGCCACTCGGTATATTTGCATATTAGCCTTTTATCATATAGAATACTTCAAGCATGTCAAATTCACGGGCCACGGGCTGCATGAGGCCCACAATGAATATTTTTGTGGCCCAGCCAATAAAACGAAATGTAAGAAACGTTTTAATAAAAATTTCGTAACTTCATTTTTACAATATTCTGTAATACATAATTATTAATAACGAACTACAATGTTCGCTAATGACTGATTATTATATACAATCGTGTTGCATTCATTTCCCTTATGCGCCTTATGCGTAGGTGCACCATTTCTCTCTACTAATACTAGCAGCGAATATTTTAGCAGCTGATCGCCCCATCATTAGCCTTGAACTGACTTGTTTGGTGTGCGCAACAGGACATATTTCACTTTAGGAGAACAAGAAAAACAGGTTTATCTGCGTTGTTTATTAATTTGTGCAGTTATTCAGTGTCTGGTAAGTTAATGTTCAAGAAAAAAATACTACTTTTTATTAAAATGTTCTATTTTGTTAACGATTACTCATTTATTTCAGCCCTTTGTATTCAGCATGTTTCTATCGAAATAAACCTACGTTTCTTTGAAAATTGAAGCTTTTGTTTTTTTGTGGCCCACATAAACTTAAACCTTGTTTATTTGGCCCGTGTTAGCCTTTGAGTTTGACATGCTTGAAATACTTCAACAACAGAAATATTAATTAATGCAGTAAGATTTTCAAGTTGTCTATAAATAATCAACATTATAAATTAAATATTTAGACCCCAAGAGCCTACTGAATTACTTTTAAATTTTAGAAAACAGAGGGGAAAAATATTTTAGGTGCATCATTACCAAAGTCCTCCATATGTTTTAACTTTAAACCACTGGCATTACAAAATAAGCCATTTAAAACCATAGTAACTTTTCACTCAAATGCCTTTATAGATACAGAATGATGAAAAAAAAAAGGCTATATGACATAATTTTTCAATATACCCAACTGATTAACAGACATTTGGATTTAGTGAGGAGTCAACCAACATGCCAGCCTTTAGAAAATAATTTTAAAAAAGCCACAATAAAACTCTCTAGAACAAGTTGTATTAAAAGCTTAATAATACAAGAATTTAAAGAATGTTAACAGAAAAACAACTAGATTGAGTGAGATTCAAAAGACTTATAATTTTAGGCAAGCCCAATTTTTCTAAGTAATCAGGTTCCTTATCTGTAAAATAAGACTATGGTAATATCTACTTTATAAAATGAAGATTTAATTAATTTAGAGCATTTATATTAAAGTGATTTACAAAATGACCTCTGAACCAGGAGGTAACATTTCAATTCCTGGTCAGGGCATATGCCCAGGTTGCCGGCTTGATCCCCAGTGGGGGGCATGCAGGAGGCAGCTGATGGATGGTTCTCTCTCATCATTGACGTTTCTATTTCTCTCTCCCTCTCTCTTCCTCTGAAATCAATAAAAATATACATTAAAAAATAGTAAAACATCAACAGTGTTAATAACAATCTCCCCCTGTAGGCCTTATCTAAAAAGAACAGGTTTCATCAAATAATTTCTAAATTCTCTGATAGCTCTAATATTACATTTATAAACAAAAGAATAATGCTATTATTGCAAATAAGATATAGAACACACTAAGCATTTTTCTAGTATTCAAGTTCAACAACTGTGAATTATATGTGATAAATCAGACCTAAGTTTAGAATGGAGAATCAAGATGCTTTTGTACTAGTAGTCTTAAAAAATTAATTTTTGTGACAAAATTATCACTTTTAAGAATCACCAACAAAACTACCACTCAAACAGTATCAAAAGGTATAAAGTGAAAAGTAAATTTCTTCTTATGTCTGCCCCCAAAGAATTTCTATTTCCCAGAGATAAACACTGTTAAGATTCTAGTATATCTACCCAGACATCTTTAATATAGCAGTTATTAATCATAACATAGATTACAGGATTTTAGACACAGAAAAGGTGGCACAATACAACTTTCAATTTTATAAATAAGTAACCTTAAACACAGGTAAGTGATTTTTAAGATTGTTATTAGTATCTGGAAAGCACTTTACAATCAATGTAAATGCTTTGACATAAGTTGTCTGCTTTAAATTTTTCTTTTTATTGCCTTCACTGGGGTGACATTGTTTAACAAAATCATACATGTTTCAAGTGTATAACTCAAAAAAACATCTGCATACTGCATCATGTGGCCATGACCCAAACGAAAGTCTCTTTCTGTCCCAATTTATCACACCTTTGTCCCCTTCCACCTAACCCCATCCCTTTTCCTCTCGCTATCACCATGCTGTTGTCTGTGTCTCGGTAATATAAGTGGCTTGCCTCAAGATTATCTGCATAACAATATAGTCCTTGGCTAGAACTATAGTTATCAATATCTTATCAATTAGGATGTTAGTAATATAAATTATATGTGTACAAAGCTTATGTATGTGGCTATTAAATTTTTGAAGATATCCTATATAGAAAGCTTGAAAATTCCTAATCTAGTAATTATTATATGAGTCATTAAAATAATTGTTTTAAAAGAATCTTAGCAATGAAAGATTAATTTTTTTAAGTTTGCATGTATCTTGAAGATTCATGCTTTTTAAGATTATCACTTAGAAAACCACTTTATAGACACAACTGAACACAATAATTACTAAATATATTTTGAAAGAAAAATTATCAACAACTTCAAAGTGAGAATAACTTGAGAGACACCTATGTAAGAATTTCACTTATTATATAAATGAACAAAAATCTATAAATAAAAATCAACCGAATAATGAAAACACCTAAAACATGCTATAGCACCCTAGCTAGTTTGGCTCAGTGGATAGAGCATCGGCCTGTGGACTGAAGGGTCCTGGGTTTGATTCCAGTCAAGGGCACGCGTACCTCGGTTGCAGGCTTCCAGCCCTGGTTGGGGTCATGCGGGAGGCAACAGATCAATGTGTTTCTTTCACATCGGTGTTTCTGTCTCTCCCTCTCCCTTCCACACTCTCTAAAAATCAATGGAAAAATATCCTTAGGTGAGGATTATAAAAAAAAGAAGAAAAAAAGATGCTATATCATTGTTTCTAGCATAAAAGAAATCAGTGCTGGCCACAAAATCTGCATTGCTCTCCTTGCAATGACAATAAAAAAATCTGTGCCTCCGATAAGCAAAATGACCTCAGTGGGAAAAAAAAAGAATACAAAACCAACCAGAATAAATTAGAATAAAAGTTAATTGTGTGTAACATATAATAAACTCTTATCAAAATTTAACTTACATATATTCAATCTCCGTTAATTTTACCAAATTAATGAACATTTTAAAAAACATGAGGATGTAATGCAATTTTCAAGTGGCTTTGGTTACTACAAAAGGTTAACTTTAGTTTTTGCTTATCAAGACTAAATTGTCAATAAAATAAAATAAAAACAACCAGGAAGCTAACCAATATATCACTATTCTTCTAATTAAGAACAAAAAACTCCAATTACTTTCTAAAGGCAGTGAATTCCTTAAACTTTTAATCATAAGGGTAAAAAAAAAATCTTTCTGAGAAAAAAAATGCTTCATATCAAGTTATTGATTCTGTATAGAAATGTATTATTGACCTTCTTTATTGGTTGAACAGCTTCTGTTTTGTTAAGGTGAGGATATGTAAACATCCTAACATTGTGATTTGGTTCTTTATCAAGCGTTTGCTCTTTACTCATATGTTCAAGCCACTCTCATTTCAAGAGTGATATAGACTTTTTAAATCAAAATCTCGTTTTTTATTTTTTAATGGACCACTGAAGTAGCATAATTTTAGGGTGAAAACCTGTGTGAAAGCCAGCTCATGGTTATACATCTTACTGGGACACCTGTTTTCTCCCTTTTAATCAGTGACAAATTTAAGACATGCTGTTTTCCTTGTATTTCTCCATTCATGGAGCTGGTGTGGGTTTATTTCTAATTTACCCTTGAGCTGGGAGTAGCTCTTTAGGACCCCAAATTTTCAGGGAGGTGTGCTACCTGTAAGACATTCCACCTTGGGAGGGCCTTATAATTTGTCTAGATTAGAAAAGATCCTTAAGGTTAAGTAGGCTTCAGTGCTTTGCCGACTCTCTTGAATACTGGTTCCATTTAATATCTGCTTTGTACCTTTATGTTTTGCATGGTCAGTCAAAAATTAAAAGTTGAAAAAAAATTTCCAATAATTTGAGTTGTTTTTAACAGGAGTGTTGTTCAGTTTGAGTCCCAAGGTGCCATGATGTCAAAACTGAAAGCTGCATACTATTATCTCCCAATATTACTCTATTTTTTATAGCATGTTACCGATCAGACCTCTTTTGGTTTCTACAATGGTTATTTCCTATAAGAATTTTAACTTTTGTACAAATAAAAGTATATATCTATTGCTTGAACACTGGTTATCTTCCAAAAAGATAAAATACATTTACTCATAGGATAAAACAAAAATTGATAACAAAAAAATTATTTTATATTTTAGTCAAGATAATTTGCTGTAACTAATAACAATTAACTTATTAAATATAAACGAATGGAGGTTATTTTATTTTAGTAGTAACTCTTCTGCCTATAGAAACTCGTACTTACTTTGGAAGGAGAACCATCAGTAATTTTCACCAACTGCCAAAGAATTGAGTAATGGGAACACTGCAATGCCTGTACGACTATCTGTATCAAATAAAAAAATTCAAACAAATGAGACATAATTTACATTTGTACAGTTTATATCATACAATATGTATCATAGCTTATAGGCCAAAAGTTTTATAGAATTAAGGAGCATATATAAAATAACATTTGGTAAAAAAAAAAAGAAATACATCATCCTAGAGGCATAAATGTATGGAAATTTAAAATAATAACCATTTAAAAAAAAAGACACTATTACCAAATGTTCACTGTCTGAACTCTGTTCTTAAAACAGATATTTATTCAGTATCTAAGCCTAGTGCTAGACACAGGGGCTTAAAAACAAACATATTCCCTCATCTCAGAGAACAATCAAATGAAAAGACAAATTAGTAACAATTATAATAATTTAATAATTGGTCTGATAAAGTATACATACATGGGGTAATGTGTTGAGGGGAGAGAAGAGGAACTCACATGTTAGCCAGGAATAGAAAGTGATAATGGTTAGGAAAAACTTTCAAGAGAAGCAAAAATCTATACTAAATCTTTAAAGAAAGATGTAAGATTTAATCTGGTAATAAAGGGAAACATAAGGGAAGGAACAGAAAATTCAAAGGATGCTTCTTTGATAACTGTGAAAAGATTCACAGAGCATAAACTAAGACTAACTAGATCAGCCCTGGCTGGGTAGCTCAATTGGTTAAAAGTGTTGTCCAGATATGCCATGGTTGCAGATTCCATCTCCAGTAAGGGCACATACAAGAAGCAACCAATGAATGCATAAATAAGTGGAACAACAAATCGATGTCTGTGTCTCCATCTCTCTACCCCTTCCTCCTCCTCCTCCTCCTCCTCAAGAAAGAAAGAAAGGAAGAAAGAAAGAAAGGAAGAAAGAAAGAAAGGAAGAAAGAAAGGAAAGAAAGAAAGGAAAGAAAGAAAGGAGAGAAAGAAAGGAAAGAAAGGAAAGGAGGAAGGAAAGGAGGAGGAAGGCTAATGCCTAGAGTAATTAATAGCACTCCTTTTCACTTTTAAAAGAACACTTATTTGGACAATAATATAGTCATCTTACCATTTCAAAGAAATACGGATGTTACCCTAAAAATGCTTACCTTAACATAAAAATTTTGAGAACATTATAGCAAAGGTTTCCTATTTTTTTCTGCTTAAACCTGAAGATATATCTATCAGTAACATTTAATCGCTATGGAAAGAATCCTCAAAGAAGGTAGCTACGTTAAAGAATTATCAACTACTTTCTATGAAAGGCTTTTGATAATCCTGTGTGATCGCAAAAAACTTTAGCTTTCTGAAATGAGATAGAAGGAAGACTAGTAAACTCCTACCTGTTCTGGCATAGCTCCATGTTCAATTCCAGTCTTCAATAATCTGTAGCAATTACCAAACAGATCCCATTTTGTGAGATCATGAGCGCTAAAATAAACAAAATGTATTAACTTTATTCTAGAATGAAGGAAATTTTAAACAAAATGACTTTAAGTAAAATAACTTCATTTTCTTGTAGAGTTGAAAGAGATCCATAAAGGAAATGTTTGAGTGCTCATACTTAAGAAGAAAAAAAGAGGGAAATGAGAGGGGGAAATAAAGAGGCAGAGAGAGCTCAAGCTGATATTAGGAATTCATTAAAAGAAATCAGTAATAACAAAACTTCACACATTTTAAAATAAAACAAAACGATCTATAATAATAAAAGCTTAATATGCTAATTAGATAGAACGTCCTTCTGGACGACCTTCTGGAAGAAGCTGCGGTGGGCAGGAGCCGAGGCAGAGGCCTGCTGCCACCATGGTTGGCAGAGGCTAAGGCAGCCGCCGTGGCGGTGGGGGCTGAGCCCCTTGTATGAATTTCGTGCATCGGGCCTCTAGTACCACAATAAAAACAAACAAAAAACCTTCACACATTTAAGTGAAGATTACTACAACATGGTCAACCTAAGCTCATATCCCATAGTTCTTTCTCTTCTAGTATAATTTAAAATACATTTAAGCAAATCCTGAGATCACACAGGATTAAGCAAATGTATTTTTAAAAAGATTAGACAAAACCAGGGTAAAGAAAACATGGCAAAGCCCAATAACTTTAGTGTAGCTATTTACATGGACTGAGGAGTTCTGAATGAGATAATGCTGACATTTTAAATAGGCATGAGCTCTACTACTAAAAATAGCAGATAATTGGCTGCCAACTTTTATTTTCATACATCTAAATATTTTAAAAAATAAGTTTGTGTCTCCATGAAATATCAAACAACATATTGTATATAAAAAAAAGGCTTAGATTTTGGACGTTGCTTTGAAATCTGAAGTATTTACTGATGTAGGCCTACACCTAAACATTCTTTTGACAACAAAGTCCTCTATTTCCCTTTCTTTATAGAGAAGATAAGCATGTCTTATTATAAGGGACATGCAAATTACAATTTGAAAATGATACTTATTTCCTTGAACAAGCCTTTTGTCCTTATTCAAATCCAACTGCTCTGTCTACATAAAACAAGAATAATTCAGAAATAAAAGCTCACAGAAATAACTTTCATGGCTTTCCCCAAAACATGGTTTTTTCCTATTTAGTAAGACTTTAAGAAACTATCCATTGAAAATTATACTTCTGAAATGCTAGCTTACAGAATGAGCTCATCAAATTTGTTAAAAATACAATTAACTTAAACCTTTACAGTGTGCACTTATTACAGGGAATGAGAAATCTTACTCCTTAAGTAACCATCCTATATAATAAAAGCATAATATGCAAATTGACCGAATGGCTGAACAGCAGAATAACAACAACCATCTGGATGACCATCCGGGACCATGCTATGACACCCACTGGCACCAGGCCAGCCAAGGTAGTTGCAATCCAATTGGTCGGGAGCCCAGCCATCACCCCATGATTGTCCGCAGAGGGAGGCCCAGGCAAACGGCCGGCAGGGCGATCAATCGGGGGGCTCCACGATCACCCTGTAGAGGGAGGCCACGCCACCAACCAGCAGGCTGCTTCCCTCTGCGAGGGAAGCCCTGGTCCTGGGTGCTGGCAGCCGGAGGGAAGCCCAGGTCCTGGGTGCCAGCAGCCAGAGGGAAGCCTGGGTCCTGGGTGCAGGCAGCTGGGGGAAGGAAGGCCTACTCTTGCACGAATTTCGTGCATCGGGCCTCTAGTATTAAAATAAAACCCTATAATTTACCTGAAGAAAATTAGAATAATAAAGAAAAACTGTACAACACCTTGATATTTCTTTAAAATTTCCCACTGTTATATGGATGTTAAACATTACAAATATAATCAGTCTGTTTTATGTTGACTAATCCGCTTTTCACTGAATCTACAATCTACTTCCAATGAAACCACGTACTTGTGAAAAGAGGTTAATCGCTTTAATGTAGAAAGAACGTTGTAAATATCATCATCATCAGCTTCTTCTCCCTATAAATAAAAAGTAGACATCACTTTATTACCACACCTTCATGTATCCTCAAATTCACATGAAAGTCTATTAACACATTGTATGCTGGAAACGTATTTATATGTTTTATGTATTTATATGTTCTACCAGTGTAGTAGAGCGCGGGACACGTATTAGTACGTTTTTTATAGACTAGCGGTAGAATGCGGGAAACGTATAAATATGTAAACTAAAGTTATCGTAATTTTACTGAACGTTGCCATTTGCGCAAAAAATTAGCAAAAATGGCCCGTGCCACCTGTTAGCGCACGATAAAAACTACCCGCAAACAATGTGTTAATACTTACTGCTTAAATAAAAATTGTTATCTAATCTAATAAAAGGGAAACATGCAAATCGACCGTACCTCTGCTACACCCACAAGCCATGCCCACAAGCCAATCAGGAGCGAATATGCAAATCAACCCAACTAAGATGGCGGCCATGGAGCTGGAGCGAGCAGGAGGCTTGGGTTGCCCCCAGCAATGGAGGAAGCCAAGCTTCCCGCCTGCCTTGCCGTCTCTGAGCTCCGCTCAGGGCTACAGTTTTAATTATAGAAGATAAATAAATCCCAGATACCTGCTTCCAGCCCGCGGCCATGGCCAGCCTGAAAACGGCCCTCAGAGCTCACCCAGGCTGGCCACACTCCCATGGGGTGAGGGTCCCTGCTAGGGGGTTTGGCCTGCCTGCAAACAGCCATCAGCCCCTCATCCAGGCTGGCCAGGCACCCCAGGGGGGACCCCCACCCTGAAGGGGGTGTGACCAGCCTGAAAACGGCCCTCAGCCCATCACCCAGGCTGGCCAGGCACCCCAGCGGGACCTCCACCCTGATCCGGGACACCCTTCAGGTGAAACCAGCCAGCCCCCACCCATGCACCAGGCCTCTATCCTATATAATAAAAGGGTAACATGCAAATTGACCCTAACAGCAGAACGACTGGGAATGACTGGTCACTATGACACACACTGAGCACCAGGAGGCAGATGCTCAATGCAGGAGCTGCCCCTGGTGGTCAGTGCAATCCCACAGGGGGAGCTCTGCTCAGCCACAAACCAGGCTGCTGGCTACCAGTACAGTGGTGGTGGTGGGAGCCTCTCCCGCCTCCTCAGTAGCGCTAAGGATGTCCGACTGCAGCTTTGGCCTGCTCCCTGCTGGCAAGTGGACATCCCCTGAGGGCTCCCGGGCTGCCAGACTGCCAGCTTAGGCCCAGTCCCCCCGGGGAGCAGACCTAAGCCAGCTGGTGGACATCTCCCATGGGCTGCCAGACTGTGAGAGGGCATAGGCCGGGCTGAGGGACCCCCCCAAGTGCACAAATTTTTGTGCACCGGGCCTCTAGTTATTATATAAAAAGTACATATTCACTGCTGGTAAATAACAAAATACAAATAAAATAAAACAGACAAAAAATGAAAGATACCCATAATCCCAAAAGTGAGAAATAAATCACAATACAACATCAAAAATGGTTAAATTATTTTGTAAAATTAAAAGTAGGGGAAAATCGGTTACATGGATTAAGAAGATCATCAGCTTGGATCTCAGAGCATAGAAAACTGTGAAGTTTCATGGTACTCAAATTGGAGGGAGAAGACAGGATTCGAGAATTACAGAAATAATCACAAAAATAACCAGTTGGAGGGGCTTCCTGTTGTCTTGGGCACACCACTAGTAATCAGCCATCCCTCATAAGCACATAATTTTAATGTTCTATGCATTAACATATCATAAAGTAATATTAAAATGCAAATTAGATTATAGGATTAGAAAATTAAAAAAAAAAGACTTAAGAAAAGCCATTCCTTGCCTGACTGGCATGGCTCAGTAGTTGCATGTCGACCAATGAAGCAGGAGGTCATGGTTCTATTCCTAATCAGGGTCCTTGCCTGGGTTGTGGGCTTGATCCCCAGTAGGGGCTGTGCAGGAGGCGGCTGATAAATAATTCTCTCTCATCACTGATGTTTTTATCTCTCTCTCCCTTCCTCTCTGATATCAATAAAAATATTTTTTAAAAAGTATGAAGAGATCTAACATTAAAAAAAAAAAAAAGCCAGTCCTTAACAAGATTTTTCTTAAAAGACAAAAAAAAAAAAAAAAAAAAAAAAAAAAAAATCCAGCTTGTTTGAAACAAATTTTAAAAATAAAGTCCTGGCCAGTGTGGCTCAGTTGGTTGGACATCATCCTGTGCACCAAAAGGTTGCCGGTTTGATTCCTGGCCAGGGTACATACCTTGGTTTTGGGCTTGATCCCTGGTAGAAAACATGCAGGAGGCAGCAGAATCCATGTTTCCCTCTCACATCAATGTTTCTCTCTCTCTCTCCCTTCAATAAAAATCAATTAAAAATCTTTAAAAAAAAAGTATAACAAAGGCTGATCTTTATAGGATGAACAATTACAATAATGCTGCTAAGTTCTGAAAGGTGTAGAGAATTTGACTAAATTTTATTTTAAAATGGAAACAATTTATATACTTAGCTACCTTTAATAATTATTAGCCAAAATTATTACATGTACACATTAACTTTAAAACATACCTCTTGCAATAGATCCTCCACAGAATGATTGAATCGATCTACAAACTCATCAATCAGCTGGCTTCGAGCTATGTCAACTCTATTCTGGATGGTATACTCTTCACTGCATAAGATGCTATAGGTTTTACTGCAGGCTTCTAGAACATCTGATTCTACATGTTTCTCCACAACAAACTTAATCTGTTTTAATAAAGCATCCAGATGCTGAGGAGGGAAAAAAGCATGCAACTATATTTAGATAAAACAAAAATAAGCATCTGTCAAATAACAAATAAGTCTATATGATCACATATGATTAAAATATTCTAGTTAATAAAACTCAATACAATAGCAGAATTTCAATTTCATAGTGTCTTACCTTTTCCATTCTACCTGTGCTATAAATTTCTAGATCAAAATACTGTGGGATTTGTAGCAAGTTTGCTACTTTCTCTGCATCTGCAGAATACTAGAAGGAAGAAAAAATACAAAAGAAGTAAGTAACTACTTTAATAGTATAGTGTAATAAGCAAACTCCATGATATATTATTACAAAAATGTAAATGAAATTGTACCTTTGATAACAACATAGGAAGTGTGATAATAAAATGCTCAGTCAATTTGTTTCTATCATCTATTTGAGTTTTCCTTTCTTTGGCAGTTAGCACCTAGAAATAAATTCAAATGGGCATAGAATATGAGTGCTATGCACTAATTTATAAATACAGAACATTAGACAGAATGATGAAGCACTGACAGATAATGTAAAAGAATTTTGAGAGGAGCTTTAACAAACTATTTACCAAAATAAAGACATCTAGTTTTATGAAGATTTCTAGACAACATTCACTAGTACTTTATTAATTAGCTCCTTATTTAAGAATCATTAAAGTTTAGATAAATTACTACTTATTTAGATTAAGTGAAAACAAAAACACTTCCATAAAACTACAGTTACGAAGATAAAAATATTGGAACCAATGGAAAAATATTTTTTCTAGATTTTTTTTTATTGTCTAAAGTTTTACATATGTCTCCCTTTTCCCCGCCCCCCCACCCCCAATTTTTCTAGAGTTTTTTTTTTTTTTTAATATATTTTTATTGATTTTTCAGAGAGGAAGGGAGAGAGATAGAGAGTTAGAAACATCGATGAGAGAGAAACATCGATCAGCCGCCTCCTGCACATCTCCCACTGGGGATGTGCCCGCAACCCAGGTACATGCCCTTGACCAGAATCGAACCTCGGACCTTTCAGTCCGCAGGCCGACGCTCTATCCACTGAGCCAAACCGGTTTTGGCTTTTCTAGAGTTTTAATCTCAATGTCAACAGTGATCTCCCCTATGTTAAATACATTCTATGTCTTCTGGCATCCACTGAAAAGAAATCAACTGCTAATTTATTGCTGTTGCCCTCTCTACCTGAATTTTCTATTGTTACTGCCAAGTTTTGTCTTTGGCTCTCAACAGTGTGACTATACTGTGTCTAGAAGTGGAATCTTTTGTGATTATCATATTAGTTTTGTTAAGCTTCTTTGATATGTGCATTACTATTTCTCATCAAATTCGTGAAGTTTCTGGCAATTATTTCTTCAAATGTTTTTGCTTCCTGTCTCTCACTCCTTTCTTTCTGAGACCTCATTACACAAATCGGATGCATTTATGTGTTTCACACATTTCTGAGGCTCTGTTCATTTATCTTCAATCATTTTTCCTCTGTTCTTCAGAAGAGATAATTTGTTATTAATCCATCTCCATGTTCATTGTTTATTTCATTTCAAATCTACTGAGCTGATGTAATATATTTTTTAAAAACTAGACCTACTGAGAAACCATTTCTTTTTTTTTCTTTATTAAGGTATTACGTATATGTCCTTATCCACCATTGCCCCCCTCCACCCCTGCCCTCACCCTGCTGGTGTCTGTGTCCATTGGTTAGGCTTTTATGCATGCATACAAGTCCTTTGGTTGATCTTTCCTCCTTCCCCCAAACCTCCCCTGCCTTCCCTGAGGTTTGACGGTCTGATCGATGCTTCTCTGTCTCTGATCTGTTTTTGTTTATCAGTCTGTTGTTCATTATATTCCACAAATGAGTGAGATTATGTGATATTTATCTTTCTCTGACTTATTTCGCTTAGCATAATGCTCACCAGGCCCATCCATGCTGCTGCAAATGGTAGGAGTTCCTTCCTTTTTACAGCAGCGTAGTATTCCATTGTGGAGATGTACCACAGCTTTTTATTTTTATTTTTCAAGGCTGGATATATATCTATATCTCTATATATATATCTAGATACGTATAAATATGTAGATGTGTGTGTGTGTGTGTGTGTGTATGTATTACATATGTGTCCTTATCCCCCCCATTACCATCCCACCGCTGCACTCATGCCCTCACTCCCCTGGTGTCTGTGTTCATTGGTTAGGCTTATATGCATGCATACAAGTCCTTCGTTGATCTCTCCCCCTTACTCCCACCCTCCTCTACCTTCCCTCTAAGGTTTGATGGTCTGATAGATGCTTCTCTATCTCTGGATCTGTTTTTGTTCATCAGTTTATGTTGTTCATTATATCCCACAAATGAGTGAGATCATGTGATATTTATCTTTCTCTGACTGGCTTATTTCGCTTAGCATAATGCTCTCCAGTTCCATCCATGCTGTTGCAGATGGTAAGAATTCCTTTTTTTTTTTTTTTAAACCGCAGTGTAGAATTCCATTGTGTAGATGTACCAGTTTTCTAATGCACTCATCTGCTAATGAGCAATTAGGCTGTTTCCAAATCTTAGCTATGGTGAATTGTGCTACTATGAACATAGGGACGCATATATACTTTCCAATTGGTGTTTCTGGTTTCTTGGGATATATTCCTAGAAGTGGGATCACTGGGTCAAATGGGAGTTCCATTTTTAGTGTTTTAAGGAAACTCCATACTGTTCTCCACAGTGGCTACACCAGTCTGCATTCCCACCAGCAGTGCATGAGGGTTTCTTTTTCTCCACATCCTCGCCAGCACTTGTTTGTTGGTAATAGCCATTTTGACAAGTGTGAGATGGTATCGCATTGTCGTTTTGATTTGCATCTCTTGGATGATTAGTGACTTTGAGCATGTTTTCATATGTCTCTTGGCCTTCCTTATGTCTTCTTTCAAAAAGTATCTATTTAGATCTGTTGCCCACTTTTTGATTGGGTTTATCTTACTTTTGTTAAGTTGTATGAGTTCCCTGTAAATATAGAGGATTAAAACCTTATCAGTGATAACATTGGCAAATATGTTCTCCCATGCAGTAGGCTTTCTTGTTGTTTTGTTGATGGTTTCTTTTGCTGTGCAGCAGCTTTTTATTTTGATGTAGTCCCATTTGTTTATTTTCTCTTTAGTTTCCATTGCCCTAGGAGCTGTATCAGTGAAGATACTGCTTTGGCATATGTCTGAAATTTTGCTGCCTGTGGATTCCTCTAATATTTTTATGGTTTCCTGTCTTATGTTTAAGTCCTTTATCCATTTTGAGTTTATTTCTGTGTATGGTGTAAGTTGGTGGTCTAGTTTCATTTTTTTTGCATGGATCTGTCCAGTTTTCCGAACACCATTTATTGAAGAGACTGTCTTGACTCCATTGTATGTTCTTGCCTTCTTTGTCAGATATTAATTGAGCATAGTGGTTTGGGTTGATTTCTGGGTTCTCTAGTCCATTGGTCTATATGTCTGTTCTTGTGCCAGTACCGGGCAGTTTTGAGAACAGTGGCTTTGTAATACAGCTTGATATCTGGTGTTGAGATCCCTCCTTCTTTGTTCTTCTTTCTCAGGATTGCTGCAGCTATTCAGGATCTTTTTTTTTAATTCCAGATGAATTTTTGGAGAGTTTGTTCTAGGTCTGGGAAATATGCTGTTGGTATTTTAATGGGCAGTGCATTGAATCTATAGATTGCTTTGGGTAGTATGGACATTTTGATGATGTTGATTCTACCAATCCATGAACATGGTATGTTCTTCTATCTGTTTATGTTTTCCTCTATCTCTTTTTTTCAGTGTCCTGTAGTTTTCCGAGTATAGGTCTTTTACCTCCTTAGTTAAGTTTATTCCTAGGTATCTTAATTTTTTGTGTGCAATGGTAAATGGGATTGTTTTTTAAAACTCTCTTTCTGTAAGTTCACTATTAGTGTATAAAAATGCCATAGATTTCTTGGCATTAATTTTGTATCCTGCTACATTGCCAAATTCATTTATTAAGTCTAATAATTTTTTTGATCGAGTCTTTAGGGTTTTCTATGTACAGTATCATGTCATCTGCAAATAATGACAGTTTTACATTTTCTTTTCCAATTTGGATACCTTTTATTTCTTCTTCTTGTCTAATTGCTATGGCTACCACTTCCAGAACTATGTTGAACAGGAGTGGTGAAAGCGGGCATCCCTGTCTTGTTCCTGTTCTTAGGTAAAATGGTTTTAGTTTTTGCCCACTGACTATGATGTTGGCTGTAGGTTTGTCATATAAGGCTTTTATTATGTTGAGGTATGATCCCTCTATTCCCATTTTGCTGAGGGTTTTTATCAAGAAAGGGTGTTGGATTTTGTCAAATGCTTTTTCTGCATCAATTGATATGACTATGTGATTTTTATCTGTCAATTTGTTTATGTGATGTATCATGTTTACTGATTTGCGGATATTGTACCATCCTTGCATCCCCAAGATAAATCCTACTTGGTCATGGTATATGATCTTTCTCATGTAATGCTGGATCCTATTCGCTAGAATTTTGAGGATTTTGGCATCTATGTTCATGAGGGATATTGGCCTGTAATTCTCTTTTATTGTGTTGTCTTTACCTGGTCTTGGTATTAGGGTGATTCTGGCTTCATAGAATGAGCTTGGAAGTGTTCCTTCCTCTTGAATTTTTTGGAATAGTCTGAGGAGGATAGGTTTTAGTTCTTCCTTGAATGTTTTGGTAAAACTCCTCTGTGAAGCCCTGGGCTTTTGTTTGCTGAAAGCTTTTTGATGACTGCTTCAATTTCCTCCATATTTATTGGCCTGTTGAGATTTTTAGATTCTTCCTGATTGAGTTTTGGGAGCTTGTATTTTTCTAGGAATATGTCCATTTCCTCTAGGTTGTCTAGTTTGTTGGAACAGAGTTGTTCATAGTATTTTTTAACAATCCTTTGTATTTCTGTGGGGGTCTGTTGTTATTTCACCTCTTTCATTTCTGATTTTGTTTATTTGGGTCCTCTCTCTTTGCTTCTTAGTGAGCCTGGCTAGAGGTTCATCAATCTTGTTTATCCTTTCAAAGAACCAGCTCTTGGTTTCATTAATCTTGTGTATTGTTTTTTTTGGTCTCTACGTCATTTATTTCTGCTCTGTACCACAGCTTTTTAATCCACTCATCTGCAGCCTGAGTGCTGTTTCCAAATCTTAGCTATTGTAAATTGTGCTGCTATGAACATAGGGGTGCATATATCCTTTCTGATTGTTGTTTCTCGTTTCTTGGGATATATTCCTAGAAGTGGGATCAATGAGAGTTCCATTTTTAGTTTTTTGAGGAAACTCCATACTGTTCTCCACAGTGGCTACACCAGTCTGCATTCCCACCAGCAGTGCACGAGGGTTCCTTTTTCTCCACATCCTCGCCAGCACGTGTCATTTGTTGATGATAGCCATTCTGACAGGTGAAATTTTTATTCTTACTTGTTTTTTTTAGCCTGTCTTGCTAGGAGTCCCCTCTGTTTTTCAACAGATTACTGGTCAATGATTTGGGCAAACGTTATACTCAAATACCTCAAATCTATAAGGCTTCTCCCTTATGAGACTTGATCTGTCTGTGGGTTTAAGAGCATAGTCAAAGTTCGGTTTGGTTTGACTTTTATTTTAGGTCAGGGTCTCTCAGATTTCCCAGTCATCCAAGGAGGTGTGGAGAGCTTATCTAATCCTCTTAGGGATTTCTCATTTCCAGGATTTTTTTAGTTAGATTCTTAGCTTGTCCATTGTTATCAACTGGGTATACAACCTCTGAATATCAAAGATGTGGGTATTCCTTACTTGTTTCTACCAAGTTGCCATTTCTAGCTGAAAAAGGGACTTTTCCCACTAGTCCCTTAACAGCTGTTGGTTTTTGTATACAGTATCACTCTGGTAAAACTACAGATCTCATCAATCAAACTTAAGGGGTGTGTGTGTACTGTATGTAACCCCAGGCAAGAAGGCTCTGCTTTTACAGAAGCTTTAGCAGCTTTTCAAGAAAAATGCTTCTCAAATTGGTGTTGTTGTGTGTGTGTTTTTAAACTTTGGTGAAGTCCCAGACGCTTGATTTTTTTTTAAAAACAATTTTTCCAGTTTTATACTTTTGGGTTTTTTTTGCACAGAAGAATTGCCTACCTCTTCATATCACCAGAAAGATTCTTCCCATCTGTGATTATCTCAACTCATCTTTAATACCAATAAAACCCGTATTATTAACCCCCATATTACAGCTGAGGAAATAAAGGCACAAAGAAAATAACCATCTGAAGATGAGTTGCTAAATGGAAGAGCATACAAACCAGACAGTTTGCCTTGCACTTTTAACAGATATAGATACAAAATTTCTTAAAAGTACTAGACTAGAAGCAGCAGGTATAGGTGCTAAAAAAGCATAGAAGGAAAGAATCTATTTTTGGAACCTGAATGTAGCAGACAATACGAAGATGAAATACCACAGCATGAATCATTTACAAAAATATCATGTTTTTAGGGATACATATACCAATGACATTTTCAAATACTTAAGACAGTTAATTACATTAAAACCCTTTTTGTAGATTTATTACTAGTATAACTTACTCTCTTGCCAGTACCCCTTCCCACAGGAGGATGTGCCTCAGCAGCTTGACGAATTGTACAAACCATTAGCTCTATTAGAGCACTCTCTTGACGGTCAGACATTGCTAAGGTGAAACAAAACACATTAACATGAGATTTATAATAAAAATGCATATAAAATCAATTATAAAAAACTGTGAATATATTCTATTATTTTAAACACTGAAGTTCTGTACCTTGTTCTTTTTTGAAGAAGTCAAGCAAGAAATACAGGGTGTCCCCCAAAAATGTATACACACACTTTGTATAATTATAAAGTCAATGTTTATTAAAATACATTTCATTTTCAAAATTGAGTTACTGGCAGTTAAAGTATATATACATTTTTGGGGGACACTGTATATAAAGAAAAAGAGGGTAAACTCTGATCTGTTCTAATACCTGGTCTCTTCTATTACCAGGCTCCTGAGTTAGGCAGAATTTTACTATATTTCCTTATATATCATTTGAAAGCTCAGATAACAAGGTACCTTTAAAAATTTTTTTTTTTAATCCTCACCTGAGGATGTTTTTATTGATTTTTAGAGAAGAAAAAAGAGAGTTACACTGATTGGTTGACCCCCATATGAGCACCCTGGCTGAGGATCAAACCCACAACCTAGGTATATCCCTGACAGGGAATTGAACCTGAAATCTTTTGGTGTATGGGTTGATCCTCCAATCAACTGAATCACCCAGTTAAGGCAAGCTGTCTTTTTGTTTTTTTTAAATAAAAGAGATCATGCTGCCCTAGCCAGTTTTGCTCAGTGGACAGAGCTTCAGCTTGCGGATTGAAGGGTCATGGTTCGATTCTTGTCAAGGGCACATACCTGGATTGCGAGCTTGATTACTAGTAGGGGCATGCAGGAGGCAGCTGATCAATAATTCTCATCATTGAGGTTTCTATCTCTCTCCCTCTCCCTTCCTCTATGAAGTCAATAATAATAATAAAAAAGATCATGCTATATTATATATACATTTTATATTAACAATACAATTTTAAAAAATATGTTTTTATAGATTTCAGAGAGATGGAGAGACAGAAACATCGATGAGTGAGAATCACAGATCGGCTACCTCCTGCACACTCCCTACTGGGGATCAAGCCCAAAACGTGGGCATGTGCCCCAACTGAGAATCGAACCATGCCCTCTGGTTCATGGGTTGATGCTCAACCATTGAGACACACTGGTTGGGCTCCATTAACAGTAGATTTTGAATATCTTCCTTGTCACTGCAAAATTATATGAATAATTATCTTCTATAAATCTATAATTATTACATAATTTGCTCCACAATTTAGTCAACCTTCTCAAATTGTTTACAAATTTTTGTCATTATAAACAATGCAGCAATAAATATCATCAATATAGAAATATTTCTGTAACTAATTTCTGCAGAATAAATTCCCAAGAGGAGTACTGGGTCAAAGGTTAAAATCTTGATACTGACAAAGTTTCTTTATTGCAGTTTACTCTTCCAACTGCAATCATGAAAATGTTTGGCTTCTCAGATCCCTGCCAGCATTGAACGTTATAAAGCCTTTTAATTCTTGCCAATCCAATGATGAAAAATGATTATTTCATTGTTATTTTGCTCCTTCTTATCTACTAATTAGTGGATTATTGATTTTGAGTTTTTATCTGAGATTTTTGTTTATTCTTTGCTCATCTTCTACTGTTAGTCACCTTAGTTCTTTATAAACTCCTGTATATTAGAAATAGTAACTTTGTTTTTTAAACAATACAAACTTTTTCTCACAGTTTGTTTTTTTGTTGTCAGGGTATAGTATGTTTTATGAGAAAGAGAGTTAACTTTTACAAACTTATATGTGTACCAATTTGTTTAATAGCTTCTTGGTTTCTTTTCATCCTTTCCAGTAATTGAGATATAACTGACATATGGCACTGTATAAGTTTAAGTTGTACAGTATAATAATTTGACATATACTGTGAAATGATTACAGTAAGTTTAGTTAATATCCATCATCTTATACACATACAAAAAAGTTTCTGGGTTTCTTGTACTGTTTTCAAAGGTCTCCTTGTTCTAGAGATAACAGAAATACATTTTCTTTTTCATTGCCTTCCCTCTTTCCTCCTCCCCGTCTGTCCTTACTTGCTTATAAACTTTTAATCTGTCTGGAATTTATTTCTGCTGATAGTATAAAGCAGAGGTGGGCAAACTTTTTGACTCGAGGGCCACAATGGGTTCTTAAACTGGACTCAGAAGAAGGAGCTGCGGCCATGTTTCCCGACGTTGCCATGTTAACACTGCTGCTGGTGAAGAGCGGAGGGGAGAGCAAGAGAACCCTCCGCTCTTTCGGCTCCGTGGGCCGGATAGAACAGCCAAATGGGCCAGATTCGGCCCGCGGGCCGTAGTTTGCCCACGGCTGGTATAAAGTGTGGGCCTGTTTATTCCCACCAGATGAAGAGCCAATTATGACTCCAACATCATTAAATAAACAAGCTTTCCTTGCTGAATTTAAATGTCACTTTTTGACATATTTTAGGTTCTTATATATACTTAGATCTACTTCTGGATTCTTTTAGTTTCATTAATGTATCTATTTCTATTACAATACCATACTGTTTTGATTACAGCAGCTTTATAATCCTACTAGGGGCCCAGTTCACGAATTCATGCACCTTGAATGGAACTGTGGGCTGCAAGGCTGTGGTGGGCACAGGGGGCGGGTCTTGGCCCATCCTCCGCACCCCCAACTGGCCCCGCCCACTGCAGCCCCACTCCTGTCATCGCTGCTCCCATGCGCTGATGGTGCAGGCCCCCCTTGCACTCGCTGATGGTGCGGAGCGATTGCGGCCGGCACCAGCAGCAGGTGCGAGCATCTGGTGGGACGTGGAGTGTGGGAGCAAAGAATTTTCAGTAACCACCAGAGACTCGCCCCAGTGACAGCGACTGGTGCCCCACATTGGTCTAGCGCCCCCGCTCACCTGCTCCACCATCCCGCCACGGCCAATTCCCACCATGTTCCACACTCTGCTGCCTACTGCCGGTGCCCACCATGTTCTGCACGCACCCCCTGATGGTCAGTGCACATCATAGCAATCGGTTGTTCGGTCTATTTGCATATTAGGGTTTTGGCGGAACAACCGGTCACTATAAGCGCACTGACAACCAGGGGACAGATGCTCAATGCAGGAGCTGCCCCCAGCCCACAGGCCCCAGAACAGCCAAGGCAGGTGCCAGTGGGGGCCCTCTGATCACCCCGCTGGTTGCCCCACAGTGGGAGGTGAACAGTGGTGGCGGGGCTTGGGGCCAGCAAGTGGACAGCACCAGACTGGCCAAGGCATGTGCCAGCGGGGCCCCCCGATCATCCTGCTGGTTGCCCTGTAGATGGAGTCGACCAGCTGCAGCAGCGGGGGGTGGGGCCGGCGAGCGGGCAGTGCCAGGTCAGCCAAGGCGGGTGCCAGTGGGGGCCCCCCGGTCGCCCCACAGATCGGCCCTGATTGCTGGCCAGGCTAGGGGCCCTGCCCATGCACGAATTTCGTGCACCGGGCCTCTAGTATATTATAATATACTTTAATATGTAACTCAATTCACCTAATTTGAATATTTAGTAGAACAAGATTCCCTTACCTAGTTCTTTTTCTAAAAATTTTCTAATGCTAATGGCAAATGATTAACCATTTTCTATGCATAAGAAGACACTGTTATAAGTGATTTATATGCATTAACCTTTTCTATCCTCAGACCAATTCCAAGAGATAGAAACTAACATCCTCACACTCCACACATGGGGAAAATGAGCCACACAGAAAAGTTAAATAACTTTTCAAAGCACTCACTTAGTAGTAAAGCCATTTATGAACTCATGTAGTCTGACTCCAGAATCTGTGCTCCTAAGCACTATGCCACACTGCCTTTTTTTTTTTTTTACAAAAGCTTAAAATTCTATAAACTTTAAAATCATTTTACTCAGTTCCTTTTTACCTCACAGAACTCATAGTAGAATTCAGAGTGGTATTTTAAGAAAATTATGCATTATATTGAGAATAACTGACATTTATATAATCTTTCCAGCTGGAAATATAGGATAGCCCTCTTCATTTTTGAGGTCTTATTTTAGGTCATTTAACAAAACATTATCATTTTCTTCATTGATTCTGTACTTTCCTTGTTGCATTCAATCCTATGTATTTTTAAAGATAGATTTTGAGACTAATTTGAATAGTTTAATTCTATCTTTCTGTCTTCCTTTTTCACTCTGTCTCCTTTCCTCTGTGTACTTAACTGTGTTAAAGACCAGGAGGAGAACCAAGATGGCGGCATAGGTTAACGCCGGAGTTTGCTACCTTGAACAACTACTTCAAAAGTGAAACTAAAAGACGGAACGGACATCACCCAGAACCACAGGAACGCTGGCTGAGTGGAAGTCCTACAACTAGGAGGAAAGAGAAACGCATACGGACACTCAGAGGAGGCGCAGTGCTGAAGTCAAATTCTGAGGTGCGGAGTGCGTGGAGCGGGCTGGCGGCGGAGGGCGCGGTTGGCGTTTTCAATCGGGAGGGAGTCGCAGACTCTGAGCTCCAGATACGGGCGAGTCTTTAGGGACCCAGACTCAAACGGGAGAAGCGGGACTGTCTGGCTTCGGTCAGAGCGAGTGCAGCTTTCTCTCCAAGGTTTGCAGTGGTTGCTGGGACTCAGAGAGGCAGAGCCCCTGGGGACAGGACTGAGAGCAGCCATAACTGCTCTCTCCGGCCCACCCTGTTGATCCTGTGCGACCGGCCCCGCCCAAGCCCTGCACAGAGGCATTTGCCAGATAGCCTCAGCAAGGGCTAGATTAGCACCTCCCTAGAGGACAGAAGTTCTCTCACTGCAGACACAGCTGATTCTCACAGCCACTTGGCCTGGAGGTCAAACCCTCCCTGGTATTAGCTACAAAAATCAAGGCTTAACTACAAGACTGCGCACAAAGACCACTAGGGGGTGCACCAAGAAAGCATAACAAAATGCGGAGACAAAGAAACAGGACAAAATTGTCAATGGAAGATATAGAGTTCAGAACCACACTTTTAAGGTCTCTCAAGAACTGTTTAGAAGCCGCCGATAAACTTAATGAGAT